TTAATGAACTATCGTGTCACAACTTTTTAATAATCATGGTACTTTGATATCATAATAATTCAAAGTTACAGAGCAGCACAGTCGGTCAAAGATGTGTGACTTTTGACAGTTAGATGAGATAGCTCTATAGACACATAATGATGACGAAACCGATTTTATTCTGGCTTAGTAAACTGTTACAGAAATAAATTCTTTTGAGCTTGTAAGTGAACCGAATATTTTTGGTTTCTAATTTATTCTTCATCACTAAACATAAACTTATGCACAACTGTTTAGAAATTTGACAAGTTCACATTTGTTTTTATTGACGAACAGAAATGTTTGAAACACAAAATCGGAAGATGAAATATTTATATCGTACATATATTTTTTTAATTGTAATAAATTCGACTGCAAAATTTATATATGGATTACAACTTAACAATCATGATCATCTAAATGCATACGACACTGATTACTACAATGATGGCGGGGAAGATTACGGTGAAATACAAAGTACACAACTGCCAGAGGAATGCAAAAGTCTACAATATTTTGTACTAAAGCGAAAATGCTCTGCTCTCTATCCAGAAGATATAAAAGTTACCTACAAAGATAACTTCGTTGAAGCCAATGATCAGTATGCAGTGTTCGCATTCAACGATGAAGGCGAGGACAATTATTTTATAACATTCCAGCACAGCGCACTATTTCATTGTGAGGAAATCGAAGTAGTTGATCTCGTACATTTTATATGCACAAATGCAACGGGCTGCTCACAGGATGTAGTATTGAAAAATAGTTTCATGAAATGCTTGGATCATAAGTCCAATATGGTGGATGAGCTGCTGGTAGCATGTACGCCAGATCTTCATGGTAGTTCTGCGTTTACAGCTCTACATTATTCGGATTTCGTGCCGGAAAAGCGCTCCGCCGATGCCCATCTCACCGCTGTCATACACTGGTGGTTATTGCTGGGAATAATAATACTCGCGACTATTTGTTGCTGCCGTGAAATTTTTGTTTGAAAACAAAGTCAAAATTTTCGTTGTTAAATATTTTTGAAAATATCTAAAATTTCTGTTTAAAAATAATCGTGATTCGATACCACTACTGTGTTTAATTATATAACAAATAAGAACACCAGCATATGTGGGGATAATTCTAAATAAAATGGCTACTTAAGCTTCCATTGAACCCGATTTAAAAAATTTATAACGGTACAATATTTCTCTGAATAATAACTGTTAAAGCGGTAAGGATTGTGGACCTGCATATAAATTATTTAAAATTTTCATTCATGTTTCAGTAACATCCTTTTCTACTTCAGGTTTCAGGTTCCATATATGGAGTAGCGGGTCACAAGCGTCTTGTATAACTTTTTTATACTCTTGCAGCCTGTTGTTACAGAATATAATAGTTTTTTTTCACCTAAGGGTTATAGAAATCACCTTAAACTAAACCATATAGATTTGGTGTTATATATATTTAATTGATCAGGATGACGAGAAGAATTGACGACCGACGRCTATCTGTCTGTGCGTTCGTCTACTGTGTCAAGACACCTTGACTTGAGTAAATATTGAAATATCTTAATGAAACTTGCTATGGGCGTTCCTTAGTAAAAAAATACAAGTTCGTAGACGGACATAATATGACCACCACCTTGAAAATTAGTGTCATACCTATGGACTAAATTAAGATATACAAGGTACGTTCCAAAGTAAACAGGACTTAAAAAAAAAAAAGATTTTTCGGCAAAATCAGTTAATTTTATTCAAAATAGTCTCCTTCTGCATCGAACGAGTGTTTTTGTTCGTTGGCCGGTATGGCCCCCAGTATGCCGGTACAAGCCTTTTGAATGGAATCTACATACGTCTGCATAACGCTTCCTTTCACGGGCAAATATATTTTTCCGATAAGACAGACGTCGCACGGTGCCATATCAGGTGAACCCGGGGGGGTGGTTAATACTTAAAATGTGATTATTGAACAAATAATCGTCCTTCGAACAAACACACCTTTCTTAAGCTCAAATGTTCGGTTAAAATGCGATAAATCGATGTTTTGGAGATGTTCAATTCCGTTTCCATGAATTTCAATGATAATTTCGGCTGATTTTTAATGAATTCATGCCCAGTTTCGATGGAATTTCCGTTGATCAAAAAACGGAAACACATGTTGATCGTCATTTATGTCCTCACGACCACTTGGAAAACGTTAAAACCACCCGTGCATGCCGCTACGGGATGGGCAATCATCGCCTTAAACTTGTTTCATCGATTGAAACGTTTCGGTAAAAGTTTTACCAATTTTCAAATAAAATTTTATGTTGGCTCTTTGTTTGAAGCTAATTTTCGCTCGGATAACACAAACACACTGACACTTAAAAGGCAATAACTTCACTTACAATCAATGAAATGTCATGGAATTCTAACCGGACAATCGATAACGATAGCAGGTTCTAATGCACCAGTCGACATATAGATAGCGCCACTAGGGGGCGCTAGATTCAACAGATTCCTTTTTACTTTGGAACGCACCTTGTACATATCTCATTAACCACTAAAGCTACAACAACTAAATTTGCTATGCTCGAATATTATAAAAACTCTTATCGGCAGTGTGAAAATTGATGAAATCGGAGGATAACCTCGTTCACTTCCCATATATCGGTACTGTTAAAAACTATAAAAAGCGCAATAAATCAATAATTGAATACGCCAGAGACATTAAATTTTATTTCCAAGATGGCATGAAAGGGTTTTATAGATGTGGTACCGCCCACTTTTTCGTGAAATACCATGTCTCGGGACCCACTCAACCGATTTCCACAAAATTTAGTACATGGCAGTTTTCTCATATTCTTATATCACAGTGTGAAAATGAACGAAATCGGACAGCAACTACACCTGCTTCCCATATAACATAATTTTAAAACCATTTGATTCTTTCACTTTGCAGAACACAAATCAGGAAACAATTGAAATAGAGGGCCAAAACTATGCGCTAGTAAACAAAATTTGTTCAAATCTAAAAAAACTATTCAAGGGCCATTTGGACCTCAGGTCCTATACAGTTATCTCAGTGAAAATGAGAGAACGTGTTTTACTCGTGCCATGTCATACTCTTTGTGCCTAAAATAAATAAATTTAAGCGAAAATTTGACTTAGCCGCAAAATAATTATTATCAGGATTTTCGGCTAACTTTACCCTTATGCGTGAGGATCGTATATGAGGTGCCTTTTACAACATTAGGTATTTCCCTGGTCTTTATTACTTGAAGATGCAATAGTATAAAATGTTTGCCCGATTAGCCTTCCTTAGTTTTTTTTGAAAAATTATCTATCCCAAACTGAGCTGAAAATGATTAAAACATCTTAAAAGCAGGTTAGTCACAATTTTAAAATCGCTTGAGGCTTATTTCGTTTTTTTGGAATATTATTTGTTTCCGTACAATGATGTTTTATTTTTTTTCTAAAGTAATATGGTCTACTCTCAAAAAAAAAATAATTTTTTTTTTAAATTTATTTAAATTTGCCATTCTTTCAAGCCTCCAAATACATACAATACTTCTTATCGCTAATATCAATTTAAACTCGATTAAATAACTCTGGCTCCCAAACTGTTTATTTGAAATTCTACTATACACACATTTTTAAAGATAGTGGGGATTATGCAATTATAGCAGTTAAAAATGGAATCCACAATAACAGCCTAAAAGTATGCAAATATTTATTTCTACACACATTATTCCACTAGGATGTGGAAGCTAATTAATTGCTAGCAGGAATTTTTTGAAGCTTCGCATGAAATCCATTAATTTAGCTACCAACAACAACAACAGGTGGGTGCTAAAATGGCAACAATAAAGCAGCCTTTCACAATAGATTTCAACTGGCTTGTACATTTGATTTCTATCATTTGTAAGTCATATGTAATATTAAAAACCTTAAAAAACTTACCTTACTGTGAGTAATGAATAAATTGCGCTATGAAAAGGGTAACAGCGCCTCAAGACACTTATTTAAGACATTTTTGCAAGTTAACCTCTCGCGCATACTTTTTACCGCGACGACGCGAACACACTTTATTTGATTCCCGAAAACCCGAATGAAAACTGCCACAACTACTTTAATTTCATTTACTACTTTAATTACAAATTAACACTAGCACTAACACTTCAAGTTGCACCAAAATTAAAATTTTTACTAATATACCTTAGGATTTTCACGATTTTCTCTGATTTTAATACAGGCGAGGGGGAAATAGTTTCGGAACTGTTTGCACCTGAAAGGTGACGCCGGATAGTTTCCAATGCGCAGAGCTGCATTTACTGTCATATTCTTTGACACATTCTATTCACAGTGATGTGGTCAAATAATTATTTTTATGAAAAATAAACTTTAAATTTACAAATATTTTAAATATTTAAATAAATACGATAATAATATAAATTAACACTTCCTGGGTAATAACTAGTCCAATTTTCCATATATTGCGACTACTTGTGATAATTTTATATTTGGGGGCCACCTAGCGGAGATTTTTTTAAGATTGGATCGCTTTCACTGCTTGGGCATATACAAATTACGAAAAGTGATAATTTTATTCAAAATAAAAATTATAATTATATATTATTTATATACACATTTATTTTGTTTTCAAAATATAAAAAAATTTAATCGAAACTATCATTTTTAATTTTTTGAAAATAATTAAACCCTAGCGCCACCTACTTTTTAAATTTAAGTTCGCACTGACGGCTGGAAAATAATTCACTTCTTATAGTGAATGGAGAAAAAATTGCAACACTGTGCTTCGCCATGATCCGCCGCCATTTAGTCATTTCCATATGAAGTTTCGTGCGCGTCGGATGAAATTTTGGTTATTATGATAAATAGTGAAAATTATAAATGTTTTTGTTTCAAATGCGAAAGTTAAGTGATCGGGAGTGTGTAGTTAAGTGAAAAAAATGTAAGGGCAGTGTTTTCTTATAGGTTTGTTAGAAAAGTGTGCAATTATAGGTTCATTAAGAAAGTATGTATATGTAGTGAGTGCACGCTGTGCGTTTACAAACACTAAAGGTTTGAAAGTTCCTTGTGTTATTGGAAAAATAAGGAAAAAGCAAACGACAGCATTGCATGTGCAGTGATTTCTAATATACGGTAAGTGTTTTCTCAACAATTCTGATATGAGCCTCCTTTCAGGTGTGTATCCATAAATTTGTAAGCTGTGCACGCAAAGCTGCTGTTCCCTTTGATTTGCTTTGATGAGCTTTTCTCGTTGCTTGCAAATTGAAAGAAGCTTTTGTGGAAAGTATCCTGTTTGTAGATCTTTTCGCACCTTCCACATTTTATAATCCACACCATTCTTGCAGTTAAGGTCAATTTGCGGTGGCGCTCAAACTGTTCCAATTATGAGTGCGGTTGCAAGTACTTATGCCTCAAAATTGTACAATAATTCACCTCAAATGTGAGTTGAGAATGCCTTAAATTGACAGTTTGGGAGCCAGTATAGTGAATAGCGTTTATTAGTGCCATGATTCCTTAATGTCCAAATAAAGCATGATAACAAATGTTTTTTAAGCGTGCATTATAAGCTAGAAGCCAGATTTAGAGCCGTTTTTGCTAATTGATGCAAAGTTAAATGATTTGTATATTATTAATTCACCTATAATAATTTATATTTATATTCCGAGAGTATAAAAAAAAATTTATAGAGTAGCGGCTACTCAAAAATGAAAGGTCGATTTTACCAAAGATTTTTTCACTTTCTCGAAATTTTTAAAAATATTTGTAATCAATTTAAATTCATTCATACAATAGAGATATACTTAAAGAATATTAATTGCAATGTTCAAGTAAATCGGAAGATTAAACCTGGAGGCAGGTTCAAAAAGGGTATTTTCACTTTTTTTCTAATACTCGTATGTACATATGTATATGCAATCAAAATTTTATTTATACACTTCTGCATATAAATATACATATTTTAACAAATTTTCTTGAAATTTGTGTTTACAAGTATCGAAAACGCATGGATAAATTTCGTTGTTGCAAGCAGGAAGTATTTTTGGCAGACTTTGAACAAAGAACATATGCACATATGTATATTTGGTAAAAATTTCAACGTGTTGGATCGAAAAATTTAGTTATAAACAAAAAAAAAAAACATCCTTCCGATCATACATACATACATATTTTCCACAGATGATAAAAAATTTTCTACTAAAAATTTCTTGTAATAATTGCGACATTAATGTTAATCAAGACAATGGAGTAAGCTACTAATAATAATATACTTATACTTTTCTACATGGTGTACAAGTATATGGGTTTCAAATGCCCTCGATACCAAATCAGAGGCTTTTGCTCTGGTTGTGTTAAAATAGTGGGCTATAACCGTAAATCTGAGAAAATTTTCGAACAAGTAACTCGTTAGCATAAGCTGTGCAGATGTCAGTTGCATATAGAAAAGTTAGGGAAACTTGACTAATCAAGCCGCAAGGAACAATAGATCGACAAACGAAACTAAACTCAGCTCTTGATTAGTTGACATGTTTAACTTCCTTTATTTTATTTATTCTTTGTTAGGATTTCACTCCGAAAAGTTTATGTTTACCTGGCAATTTTAGTCAAACATATTTATGTTCAAAACGTAAATAAGTTTATGTACATAAATATTTTGTTTGGAAACGTTAAATATTTTGGAAATGAAATACTTTTGTAAACTTCTCATAATATGGCTAACAATAAATTCTTTGACAAAATTCATAAACGGACAGAATGAAGAGGATGGTTACGTTGATGGTGAAATTTATTATGAAGGTGATGGCGAAGGTGAAGAAGAGGATTATGATGGCGACGAGTATGATTATGGCGATGTAGAGTATTTCGATGATAGTAAGGAGAATAAAATGGAATTACCGGAGGATTGTATATCACTGAAATATCTAAAATTAAAACGAATTTGTGACATTGGGTATCCGGATGTTTTGGGTCAAAATTACGAAGATATGCTCGTGGATGTGAATGAACCGTATGCTGTTTTCCAATTTCCATATGAGGACACAAATCGCTACTTTTTCACATTTCAAAAAAGCGCTATATTCGATTGTCAGTATTTGCAAGTGATCGATGTACGAAACTTCAAATGTTTTAATGCATCGGATACGGCCGAAGACATAGTCTTGACCAAGGGTGTGATGCAATGTCTCAATCAGCCATCCTCCGCGATTGACTTGCTCTTGGGCACTTGTTCATCTCAACTGAATGAGAGCGCGGTATTCACCGCTTTGCATTATTCCAATCTGGTAACGTTAGAGCGCAGCAGCACTAGTGGCCAAGGGCATCTGAGGATGGAGTGGTGTTTGCATTTGGGGTTCGTGGCATTATTGTACGTTTTATTAGCACCTAAAAAGTGATACAATTTTGCGGAAGGTTTTTCGAAACTAATTCCTTGTAATTTAAGACGTGAATATAGCTTAATTGTATCCAGTACATGTTACGGGTACAATTTAATCGACAATTTTTTGAATGTTTGTACATGAACTATTGTTCAATAAAAATTTGTATAAAAAGATAAAAAACTGAAATATCAGAAATTTGCTTTTAAATTTATCAGCTGCGGCACTACGTAAAAGTTGCTTAAGTTCAATGAAGTAATGGGCGTTTCATACATCCGATTTTACAGTAAAGTTGGAGGTAAAAAGTAACATCGAGTCTAGAAGAAATTGCTTGGAATAACTAAAAATATTCTACCTAACTTAAACCCACCTAGGAACTATCACAGATTCCGCAGATATTACATGTTGAATGCGGAAACCAAATAATATAAATAGAAAATAGTTGCGGTCATAACCCAATTTATCTTAAGCGGTTTGTAATATACTTTTTTTGCAATGAGAACGAAGGGAGTATCTCATTATATTACCTTAAGCGGTTGAATCCATCAATCAGAGAATCAAGATTTTTTTTCCTATAAAGTATTATACTTTTTAAGAGCGCCAAGATTCGCTTGTAAAAGTTGATCCCGAAGAATGGTCCAGTATGGGTATTAAAATGTCAATAAACTTTCTATACTCTGAACAGAGTATATTAAATTTGCTACTTCGAAGCAGAAGGAAGCTTTTGGAATCTTTCTTCTATATTAGCGTAGACACCGATTACACGGTTATAGCCAAGTTGGTACCAATCGGAGATTTCCAGTGTAGCCAAGTCATTCTCCATCTGTTCTTTCCAAAAGAGTGGAGGATGCCTTCCCCTGCCTCTGGTTCTTCCGGTGGGTACTGCGTCTAATACTTTCAGAGCTGGAGTGTTTTCGTCCATTCGAACGACATGACCTAGCCAACGTAGCTGCTGTCTTTTAATTCGCTGAACTATGTCAATGACGTCGTATACTCGTATCTCATACCGCACATAGCCCCATCGAATGCGATGTTCCCAATGCGCAAAGAAGCATAAATCATCGTCCTTGGTTGTGCACTTATAGAGTTTGCTCTTTGTTCGTCGAAAGAAGACTTTACTTTTCAATTGCTTAGTCATTCCGAAGTAGCACCTGTTGGCAAGGGATAGTTTTTGAGAAATAGATCTGAAATTTTGCACACGTTTCTCCCTAAGAAGCAGCTTATGGCATATATCTGCTATACAGACTGAACCTTCAATATTAAGTTCTAGTAATGGAAGCTTTTTTATCAATTTTATTTTTTTAAGCATGAAATTTGGCATGGGTTATTGTGTAGGTAATGGACAAATTATTCAGAGTGGACTACTATAGCACATACCTCTCTTGAATTTGGCATAGATTATTATCCAAAGCAACGGATTGATCGCAAAATAGTTCAGATCGGACCACTTTAGCATACACATGACTATATATGTGTAATAAAAATTGGGATTATCCATTTTTCTTACTCTCGGAATAAATCATCAATTTTAATTATTCTTTTTAGAGGTGTAGACCTAGTCCCTTTAACATTTGTTTTATGCTGCGTCGGATGTTGAATAGTTTCATGTATATATATTGCGTAACATCTATAGATATTATGGAAAGGCCAATTTAATGTCGAACTAGATATCTCCAATTCGCGGTAAGAGGCTTTCATTGCGTTGAAAATATAATGGGTTAATTAAGGAAAAATATGGAAGACAGTATAAACCGCTTACCAAGTTATTGAGACAATACGACTTTCTCGCGACAGTCGGGTCTAAGTAACCGCAACAGAGCCGGACTTTTATCACATTAAGAACAACTGCGCACTATTCTTCGAAATTACTTCAGGAATATTTTCTGCTGCTACAACAACAATCAATAAGGATGAAAAGGCTTATTCGACAAGGTTTTCAGGATATGTAATTTTGAACCAGTGGTACGCGTGGCTAAAGTCTAAAGTAGTCGTAAATTGCACTTTCGATACAAAGTTTCGATACTTTTCACTCACTAAATTTGAATAGATTTTTTTTCCCATAATTATTTATTTAATATTTAATTATAAAGTCGATTTCCTTGTATATACATATTTAGTTAGCGATATAGATTTGCTTCAAATCTTTAACTATTAATATTTAATTTATTTAATATTTAAGAGGCTTTTAAATACAGCAGTGATAATATTTCAACAGTTCACACTTCCTTTCGTATCAAAACTCAAAACTAAGTATATGAATTTAGTATGGAAATTGCTAACCTTTCCCAAAAAATATAAGCATAAGCCCGTTATGAATTCAGAACTCCTCTATAAAAGAACCTTGTTCTAAGAATTGGGCTGAAACTTGAACCCCAACAACCTGTTAGTTTTTTTGGTTTTGCCTAAGACTGCTTTTTTTTATTTATTATTTATTATTTGCCAGATTAATATGAGATCGAAATTTTCTTCAAGTTATTTGACAGTGTCGCTTTTTATGATAATTACATTGGCTAAAGAAACTAGTGGATATTTCCCTCTCCTTAACGATTTTGAGCATTATAATTATCTATAATATTTAACTGTTTAAAGCAGTCTAGCCATTTTTGATATTTATTATATTTGTGCATAAGTATTTAGTTCATTTCCGAGCAGGGTACCTGTGCAAGCGTCATTGCATGAAGGCGCCTTGACAAATTTACGGAAATTAATGTAACTCTGAGTCAGCTTGTTCTCCAAAGGGCCTAACAATATGTACAAAAC